GAGGCATGGAACATATGTACCAAATATGCCAAAGATGTCTACAAAATTATCTCAGTTATTATTAAAAAACTGATTATTTTTGAAAACTTTGCCACCCTGTATCTCAAAAGTTAAGGCGTTTAGGACATACGTCCATAGGACGTTTTTTCCTTAAAATGGGTCTAAGAATTACCTCCTTAAATATTAGCATGTGTTTAAGGAACACCCTGTATATTATCATGAGTTCAACCAACATCATGTCTGGTTACAACTCTCATATCTTTCCGTGAGTATGTTCAATCACCATCAGTGCTACCGCTGCCTTCATTTTCACTCTTTCCATGTATTGAGTTACATCGAGTGAGTGACATCGCCTGACAAATATATTTAGTTAATTTGTGAAGTAAATGAATTTGTAACAACAAACTATTTCAAAATTTATCATTTTTTGTGAATATAGAGTCTGGAAAATCTAAAAGTTTCCTCTGTAGTAAACCCCAATATTATGTTGAAACCGGAGAGTTAGTTCGAAAGTAGCGAGTGGAAAAATAAGTCATAGTTTTATCACACAGTATGAAAAAACTGAGAAGGCTAGACAACACCAACTAAATTAGAGAGATTAGATATTGGGAGTTAGATACAACCAACCGAATAATGAGTCTGGTCTGCTTATCTCTTAGGCAATACTGTTTTTTCATTACTCTCGAATTACTGTCAAACAATGTAGGAATCTGTATATTATACAACTTCAAAAATTCAAATTCAATACTCTTTATATATTTTCTATACTTATATTTGTGATCCTCAAAATTATATTCATTGAATAATATCATACGAGCCCTAGCTATTCAACAAAATTTTTCAAACGTCAGTTTTCAACCCACATAATATATTTTCCTAAATGAAGATATTTTCTTGTGCAAAATTTGTTGAAACTGTTCCGTAGAATTTCTGGAAATTTCATGATGTGATATAATCCACATCTTATTCATGATTTTGATATTTAGGATGATATACAGAGTAGAGAGAGTTCAGTCGGTCATCAAAGTAGTTATTATCCAATATTGAGTAATTTTTGTTCATATAATTGTTTAAAAAAGTAACGTGGAGATTTTGAAAATTTCTCTCAACGAGCATACCATGAAACCTCATTATTCCATTCCACTATTTCAACTGAACCTTGCTGCAAGCAGTTCCAGCAATTCTCAGAATTACAAATATTCCTTTGAGGTATTCGCACAGTCATTTAAATTCCCCAACGAGAACAAAAGTTCAATTTGTATCACATTAACGTAAAGAAATGATTAGCCATCTTATTGATCAGGGGAATCGAAGAAAGTTCAATCGGACATTGGCGATAGCAGTTGAAGTCTGAATTACTAGCTGCACGCAAGAATGACCTCGCTTCGAGCGTCCAGCAACGAAATGTAGACAAATTGAATCATTACGGAGTAAATTAAGGTTTCAAGGCATTCACTAAATGCTGGAATTCAAAATAATCATCGAAAAAAATGTAGAGCTGAGATGAAATTTCCATATTGAAAGTGCATCATCATCATCATTTGACTTCATCTCAGTTCATATTATTTTTGGTGATGAATATTTGTTGAATGTTGCCATCTCATGAACTGTCAATGAAATTCCCTTCAATCTAATCTACGACTGGATCGTTTTGGCTGAACACTGGACCTATATCCACGAAAACGAGTGATCCTCAAAACGATTTTTAATGGATCATTCAGATTGTCCAACAAACCTGTTTATCATAATCTCTCTTATGAGCATACGACTTATCAGTATCAGTTTTTCCTATTCTGATTTTCGAATTGTCCAAAGCTTGTACAACTAAGCCAACTTAGCCCAGTTCATTTTTTCTCATCTCTCCGCTAATTGATACATATATGCGAATCTCATATATCTGCATTTGTTTATATTTATGTTTTCGAATGAAACACTTTCATACTGACAATAAACTCATCATTCAACTTCATAGGTTCAATTATTTATGAAAAATATAAAAACATGAACTTCAATTGCCTGTAAATGTCAAGTCAACAGAAAATCCGAAATCGCTAAAAGAAATATATTGAAAGATTCAAAAAATTGGGAACATTCAATTTAATCATTAAAAAAAGTGTATTTCCAGACTTCTATTCTTGAATTGATAATACTACGCTGAGAATCAGTAACAGGCTTTGATATCCAATAAAATCTAATTGTGAATAATAAATGATTCACATATGATTTATTCAGATTTTTGTGTACAGAAAAAATAAAGAGGAAACCCCGTACAATTTTCCAAAATGAAAAAAATTTTGAAATCAATTTACCAAGTTCCAAGATTCTTGGCGTACAAATAGATTAGGAGAGGTTATTCTGTGCAATGAAATTGTTCTTTTCTTACGTTTTTTTCTCCTGTTTTGCACTTCAAAGAAGCATCTGTAGATTATTGACACGATTTTCCAAATAGTTCCAGATGATGATTTTCAATATTATTTTACAAAGATAAGTGTGTAATCTTTTGAGAAATTTTACAACCTTGTCACTTTCAGCCCTTCAACTGGGTGNGTCCAAGTATAGATCCCTGAGGCACTCCAAATTTAATAAATTCACTGCTTGATTTTCCCTTCGAAGTTTCTACAAACTGTGAACGATCTTTAACAAAGCTTTTAATTAAATTTATAGCAGGTTCAGAGAACCCGATGAAGTTCAAAATTGCAAATAAAATTGGATAACTAATAGTATCAAAAGCTTTGGAGAAGTCTATAAGTATCAAAGCAGTCGTGTTACCTTTGTCTGCAGCTTTGAAAATATCATCAGTTATTTTCAAGAGAGCAGTTGTACAGTTCACATAGCACTGGATTGAAATAGGAGACGGTTTCGAATAGCCTCCAGGATCACCGGATATTTGAACACCTGACAAGTAAGATCGAAGGAAAGAAAACAGCGTCTTCATAGAGTATTTGTGTCAAAGAATTGCCAAAGTGTTGCATCGTGGAGAATAACTGAACATCTGAACAATTCTTGGTATAAGAGACCAGATATTATACTTGACAGCCCAAGACAAGCAAGTTATTGTTTTATAACTTCAAGGAACTGTTAACTTACACTATCCATTATACTCGTAAAGTCTACATTCTACATCTTGTATTTGATATTCTTTTGGGTTCCTTGTATAACAAGAAAATTTCAAATCGGGTGAAGTTTGATATGAAAACATGAAGATATCTCCATCTTTTGCCACTTCAAGACTCATAAGTAAGGAACCTGATATAACCAAATAAAAAAAGTACAGAGATTTCACTAACTATGAAACATAGCAGGATATGGTCAGTACTTTCACTATCGCGTTCTCAACAAGTTCAATTGGTAGATGAAGAAATATAAAAAAAATCGTATAAAATAATACTAATGCTTCCACTCACCTCACTCAATTGAAAAAGGTGTGAACGGTATACCAATAATCGATGAGTGCGTTCAATGTGATTACTTTTTTGTCTGTATTTTGAAGTTTTTCTCGAACCGAGATGAAATTATGTCATCACTCTTTCTTTCTCGGTAATCGGATTCTCTGGTATAAATAATGATTCCTTGTGTCGGAAACAGCTACCGACTACGAGAGAAAAAGCACTGTTTTGCAATGCATTCATTTTAATGGAATTGAATAGGTATAATAAATTAGGCTCTGAGAGCTGCTAGTTTGTTGTTCTTTTTCATAAGACCGAAACGAGTGCGCCTGTAATTACAAAAAGTTTTTTATATAAACCAATAAATAGCGCTGGTGAACGAAATAAGGCTATTTTCTTACGCCCTACAACTATGCGATGAGTTTATTTCAGTGGCGGCGCCAAATTCAGAAGCAGAAGCTTGTTATTACTTTGGGTATATTTTTTATCAATATCACACACTCAACTGATAAGCAGAAAAAACACATTCTTTGAATAACATTTTTATCTGATTACCTGCTATCATCGCCTGCCAATCTATTACTATATTTTTTTGTTTCGAAAAAGAAACTCTCTGTATGTTTCAACTCGAACAAAATATTATTCAGGGAGTTTTCGAGAAATTCAGGAGTTTCTGAAGCGACTATTCTGAGGCATATACATATTAGGAAATGATCTTTCAAGAAAAATGGGAAGTGCGAGCCTAATCACAGATTTTAAACTGATCGATTGAGGGGGGAAAATTCACAGGTTTTTGTAATTTTTTCATTTGTTTTATTCAAAACCATGAAACAACTAATTTTCTTTGATGAATATTTTCGTGTGAACATAATGACCATACGGTTTTTGTTCACCAGGTTTGGATATTTCATGGACATATTTAAGGACATATTTATGAAAGCATGAGAAATAATCATACTCATCCTATATAATACATAGTTTCTTCTTCATTAATGAAATATTTTACTATTCAGTAATGATTTCAATTTATATAATCACAATTTCAGTTGCGACTAGAATAATTTACAGCTTATGTTTTGGTAAAATATTGGATCAATTTCAAATATATTGATACCTGGTAATACAAGAGAGCGAAAGAATTGCTCTGATTCTATCTGTCATAGTATTAATAAGAGGTATCAAGTCATGAACCTCAAAACTTTTCTCTCTACACTAGAAATTACAAACTACAAATATATGACTGTGTAGCTACGTCTATAATTTTATTTTACGATAATAACCAGAACCAGAAGAGGTAGATAACTGTCGAGAAAAATTTATTGATAATAATAACACAATATCCTGAACAGGACACAAAATTCAGGTATTAGGAAGTTTATTATACAAGTTTGAGTATCAGTATCAACCAGAAGAGGTAGATAACTGTCGAGAAAAATTTATTGATAATAATAACACAATATCCTGAACAGGACACAAAATTCAGGTATTAGGAAGTTTATAGAAGTTTGAGTATCATTTGTCTTTCAAAGATGATTGTTCAAATGCGAATTTACATGAATTCAATCACTTTCTAGGATGTAGCTTATGTCGTACATTCTGATGTCGACTGCTTCTAATTTTTTCATTTCTGTGGAAAGCTTCAGCAATTTCGAAACTCATTCATTACAATTTGAACAACGACGAAAACAATATAGAACAGATATATCACATCATTTGTTGCTCGTTAACTCCAATTCAACGTCGACTCCGAAATCCAGCAAGTCTCAATACTGTGAGAAAATGTCAAATATTTGCTTCTACCTATATCTATACTGATGTGTTAACAGTTTTAATATTGAAATAGAATCAATACTGCAGATTATGTATGAAGCAACTCTGGATAAACATTATCTATATACCACTTGAAAGATTTGCACCCCAATGTTTTTCTTTGTAACTTTTTCCTACGTACATACTCATGATCAATGTATTTTTTTCGATGATTTTTGTAATAGTAATCACTATAATCATCCAACCAAACTTCAGCCACACGTGTAAGATCCTGGTGCCGAACTTCGGTCAAGAATTTAGACGTGTAATGAAGAGTTTCTCGAAATATGTAACCAACATGGGAACAAGGAATAATTTCTATAGAACCCCCACACATCCACGTCTTCAGAGACAGTTCGAGGTTTTCTGCACCACTCAGTTCGAAGCTTTCATCATATGTACCCAGCAGGAGAAAAAATGCTTTATTTATACTGAACAAACCATGTGGTATTATTGGAGTTTTAACAGGCTCGGCAGAATGGTTGGATTTTCGTTGTTCATTTTCAGAAATTGAATGCTGGATAGCCATTAAATTCCAATTGAAACCACATATGTAGACATCAGATCCGTATGAGAACTCCAAGGTGTCGGGGTCAATAACATCTATTTTTGGAGATACTACAGTTTTGGGATTTCGTGCAATTCGGTCTAGAAGTGGCACCAACCATCCAGGAGCACATTCTACACGTGAATTCAGAAATGTAAGAACTTCTCCTCTCGCATGGAATGTTCCAAGCAATCTAGCTTTCATAAGACCCAACCTCTCCGAGGTTCTGAAAATCCTCAATTTGGGGTTATTTTCCCAGTATTCGACTAAATTCTGTTTAAGGTGTTCCGTATCTGAAAAGTCGTCAATTAGGATGATTTCCTTGAGCAGATAGTCGGGCGATCTGTCCAGTATTGAATGAATCGATCTCAAAATAACTGACCAGGCTTCGTTGTGGAAACAAATAATCACAGATGTAGAAGGAAGTTCTGCCATGAATCTACGAGGCGCTTTACACCATTCATCTCTGGGATCTGGCAATGACCTGTGGACATTTATGCAATCGCTTACGAATTGGTTGAACCCATAATGACGCCAACCATTCTCTACCATTTTAGTAATAATTTTTGACATATTGTTTCGAAGGATCACCGGTTTTCCCATTTCACCAAAAAAAGTTGTTTCTGCAACATTCTCAATGTGAAACAGAACAGGTACTTCTCCAATATTTACTCTGTTCATCATTATTGAATATCTGATAAGAAACAACAAAACTACAACAGCTACCGTCAAAAGGAACAAATTAATTTTTTTCAAACCACTCACATTCATTCCGATTAAAAGTTTGTGTCAGACTGAACGATACTGAGAAAAATTAGAAATGTGAACTTATCTATAATAAATGAATATTTTATCAGTGCTGAGATAAATAATCTGGTTTTTGACAAAAAATCATAATGATATTGATTGATGGTTCTGTTTGATATTTGAACAAGAACTAAATTTATGAATGGATAATTTAATACTCTTTCAGATTTTCCGTTATAGATACAATATTTCATTAGAATTGATAAGAAATACTTTCATAATACGTTCACAATATTACAACATGCACTTTAACATGATGACAATTTCATTCGAAAATTTCAAACTCAATCCATCGTTCAATATCATTGAAGTATTAACATATTCACATAAGCATCAATGATTATTGTTTCAATTCGTTATTACATTGCCATATAACTGAGTTGATTATTCCGTAATCGTATAATTTTTATTTGATCCGTCAAACAAACTATTGAGTTTCGTCTGAGATACGAAACTCAATAGTTTGTTTCGTTTCAAATTTTTCTGCTAGTCTACTAGTGATCTACTTCACTTTTATTAAAAAAATTGAGGTATTAACTGAATATAACTATGATAGAAAATAAAATTCAATAGTTTTTGTTCAAATCCAGTACATGCCTTTTTGTATATAATATCGTCATTCAACTTGTACTAATTAAAATAACGAGCAAATTTAATAATTACTTTACTGCTGGTTGACTCATATTCTTTCATTATCCACTCCAAAATATTGCAAATGGGAATAATGCTCATTTTTTCAGCATTCACTCCTAACAGTAATTCTGACCAAACATACTCGTAATTACTATGTAAAAAATATTTGAGAATATTGATAAATGCATAAAAGTACCTGGGAACATTCATCGAATCTGATTTATCAAGTTACTCAAACTAACATATAGGTACGGGTAGAACATGAGAATGTGGAATGAAATGAATTCCTTTCTCTGGCTAACGCCATGTCGGATATTGAAAATAATTCAATATTTCGTGTATCAATGTAAATGAGTAATTTCCTGCTGGTCATTTGTCATTCAAAACTGGTAAGATGGTTTGGATAACTATTCGCAATGTAAAAATCAATTGTTCAACCTGAAGAAAGACGCATTTTTAATTCAGTGAGAAGATTAAATCTCGCAAGGATTATAAGCATTTCTAGTGAAGGTCAGAATTTTTTCTATTACAATGGAATAGATGTGTTTTGAAACCTTCATTATTGATCTTTTTCAAAGACAATGAATTTTTGAATCATTTCAGCATTTCCGTTCAATGAAAACAATCCAGCGTTATCAACACTGAAAATATCAACTCTTCTTTTCGAAATTAAGAAATCATAATTTCTGTAATATCATTGCAATATATGGAGAATACAGTCCAAGGATGACTTTTTCAATATTATTTTATATTTGATGCTCCAGAATACAGATAGCATTGAACCAAATCCAAATTCAGTTTGGAAAACTTTCGTAAGCTGGAAAGAAGTATAAAAATTTCTCAACCAGACTTCAAATTGATCTCATTTGCAGATTCACTGAGAACCAACACTTGCTCGCGACTAAATAGACATTCGAATATTTTTCGAAAATATACCCCCTCTAGAGGGTTTTACAGAATATATTCCGGCGATATATATTTCCAAATGATGAAAACCCTTTTCACCGTGGCTCCCGGTTATTCCGACACTGTTCAAAACAGCAGTCCAAGAATTCAGACAGGCAATAAGTATCCAGCCACTTTTATTGCCCTGTCAAGTTCGATATGTGCTTCGTAGTTTTATCACTCGAAATTGCGAGGAATCAGCTCATTCACAGGGGCAATTTACTTGAAACATATAATTGATATCGTTATGCCCATTTAACCAGCACACGATTAATTTGTTTAATCTAATTTGTCAGAGATATTTAGCGAAACCAGGCTAGGCTGTAATTCAGTAAGAGATATATCACAGGATTGTCTAATTGCTGTATTTGCATGGATACACACAAGATAACTGCTAGGCAATTGCGATACGAAAAATGAGAGAATGAACCAGTAGGTAATCGAACAGAAAATTGACCACCATAGTCGCGTTGACAAAAAAAATGGAATGGCAGAATTACATATTACCTTCATTAGGTAACGATATCAGGAATAGAGTTATCTGGAAAAAAATCAGAAGGTGAACAACTTGAAGACGAACGATTTTTGATATTCAACACATATAAGCGATGCTGTATGGTGAGCATAATTATGGAGTGTTATATACAGGGAAGATGCAATGAAAAGGAAACGAAACCGGTTGTTTCAGTTTTTTTTCAAATCTTCAAATTTCATTCTGAGCAAGTAAGTGCAGAAGTGCAAAGATTAGATTATTGGGGCGGAGATAAATACATGAAAATAATTTTATTATTAACCATTTATCAAATGAAAAAGTATATTTTGGAAGTCTAAATTATTGAGAGGCGATATTTTTTGGCATTTCAACCTTTCACAATCTACAAAATGAATGAATCTAAAATCTGAATAATGAAGGCAAACCCAAAAGTTCACACCGAAAAGTTATAGCGGAATCGGAACCGTATAATTGTTCAATTAATTTATTGTTGTTATAAATTTTGACAAATCAAATAAATGATAGGATTTTTTTTATATATTTAGCTTTTTCGAAATGGACAACATTTTGGAAAACGAATTCATTTCCATTCTCAAAACATAAAGAATTCTTCACTTGGGTTTCAATCTGTTGTTGACTTCGTAATGGAGAATCTCATTTAGAGTAATCTCGAATTTTTTCAATTGATGATTGAGAATGAAATATTAACAAATCCTGATCAGTGAGAATTATGTCTTGTTTCATTATCTGCCGATGATGGATTCATTACTCATGTAGGATTAAATCGCAGGCAGAAGAACAACATAAAAAACCTTATGATGTCTATGAATTCAAATTGAACCAAAGCGGGGTCTCTCAGTCAAAAAATCAAAAATCAAATCTGTTTTCTTTGCCAAGCTTTCGCTTCTAATGGGAAGCTTCTTCAGAGCAGTAAAAATGAGTTAAAAACAATAAATTGAACATATAAACTGACAGAGAAGGTTGAACATGTATAAGATTTTGCTTAGACGATGTCTTGGTTCTCTTAGCAGATTTTTATTTCTATCAGAAAGAGTTGAATCAGCGGACATATCACTAAAAAATTAGACAAAATCGCGGACTCGCAAAAATATGAAATATGTTCCAACATTGACAGAAAATTAGTGAAAAGTCAAATTGGAAAATGATAATTATAGTGCTTTTTCTATGAAAAGTATTATGGAATCCGGAACTCCAATTCCATGTTTCTTTTCTGGCATTTCATTTGTATTTGATTAGTGTTCACTACCATATTTTGTTGCAATTTCGATATGTACAAAGATACTTTTGGTGACTTCTTCATGATGGAAACAAGAGATGAAATGAAAATCTTGTGAAAAATCAATTCCATCAGCAAGAGAAATGCAATCGTTCTGAAATATTTCAACCTAACTATTGGAATTATTTTCTTCATTATGTATCATTCTATAATCGACAACACTTTCCCGACTCTTTTCCCGCATCTGGCGATGGGAATAAAGTATTCCGACACATTCCATATCACCCAAACCCCTCGAGGTTTCTTACCCTGCCATTATCATTTCACGTATTACGTATTTTCCACTAGATTTAGTACTCCCATTCCGCAATAAATATATCGTTTGATATTATTCACATTTCTTACCGACAAGAGAATTCGCTCTCCCCCAGGCACAATTCAAGACATTCTTGACGGGAACTGACCGCTTGGTGGCTCTTCACATATCCGGCTAATCTGTAATTTTGCACTCGGTCTATGCACCAGGCGCGTTCGCAAGGTTTCACCCCTAGGCAGCTCTTTTGCGCGTATATCGTGAACACAGGAAACTGAGACTTTGTTAAAGCACCTGAAACAGAAAAAAAAACGGATGATATAATTGTGGTGGAGCGATCCCATCGTTCTTGATGGCGATGAAATTAACGATACAAGCAACAGTGTCAATTAGATGTCATGATGGATAGTATTACCGAACAATGAGAATACTTGGACTTCGTATTTACTAATCAGCGTGAGTAAAATAGAATCACTCTTGTTTAAGGGTCACCAAAGAGAACAGTAATACTTCTTTCATACAGGGAGCTTCACGTCTCTCGCTTCCGATAGAGAGAAAAGCTCTTGGTAACTAAATGCAACGAGCCCAATGGAGCTTTCAGATGATGAAGCGGGAGCCGCCACGTCTCAGGAGACGAGAGCTGCTCTGCGAGCCGGGGAGACCCGTCTCCTCCTCAAAATGGGGGCTCCCACAAGAGGGGTGAAAACGGCTCTTCCTAGTTGACGCTTCACACTAGTTATCATGGCAGAATATGAAGTGTAATTATTGATCAGTGCTGTCTGCAATCAACCCGCTCTTTGGGATAAAAGTCTCGAAATGTATAAGGACCGAAATGAAATCGTAAAAAGTTGGGTGGAAGTCTGCAAGGTGCTCAACGTAGATTTCGCAACTTTATCCATCCCATTCTTGATCGTTTCTGTCGTCGAAGTTTAAGTCGACGGTAGATAAGGTATATGGCAACACCTCCACTGAGCTCAAGGAGTCAGGAACTGAAGAGGCGTCCGGTGTGAATGGACGGTAGGTAAGAATGATAAACACTACCGAATAGGAGCGAGAGACGGGAAGCTCTCCGTGTGAAAAAGTCCTTACTGACCATTCATGACAAGGATGGGTTACTGGTAGGTAATCTAGTTCACGGGGGTCATTTCACATAATTTCAGTTCTTCTTAACAAAAAATTTTGAGGTGTAGTTTGATTCGTAATCTCACAATTTGCGCCAGGTTGCGCTAACAAATAGTTAGAAAGTTATAAATAATTCAGTTGAACATGTGTGCGTTTCGAGCCAATATCTCAAAAACTATGCAGACATTCAAACTTTGTGATAATCCTTCTGAAGAGTACAAAATCGTATAAAATATTCTCACCTTGCGAATCTGTTGCAGCGATATTAATACTTTCAACTGAAAGGTGAGAATACTTACAAAAAATACTTCATTCTAATTGATTCGAATATTAAGGAACGAATCTGCTGCACCGATATTTATACTTTCAATTGAGGGGTGAAAATACTTACAAAAAATATTCCATTCCAATCGATTCGAATATTAAGGAATAACAAAATTGAGTTTTTGTTGGATTGTTGAATAAATATCGCTATTTTCCTCTCAATCATGCTTTTGTTTATCAATATTTTTTTCCAAATTGAAGTTTAAGTTGCACTTTATTGAAATTGAAATTATGTTTTCCAAGCGTTTTTGTTGGATTTTTTTGGTGATATTTTTAATTTGTAGGGAGTCGTTCGAAAAGTAATTCAAAATTTTGAATCACCTCAAACATAAAATAGGCACCATAAAGAATGTACATCCCATGGCAATGCACTTTCATCTCCTAAAGATCAATATGGTGATTCTCTTTGGTCAGAATTTAACACTTCCATTTTCTTAATGGAAGAGAACTAGTCAACGTGCAACATCTTTTTCTGTCGATATCCTAACATAACAGAAAAAGCTTCGAAACCAGTTTTTAATTCCAGTTCAAATTTAAATAAATCTAAAAAGTTGAATTCACATTCAAGTATTCTGAAAATGTCCCCCAAATATTCAACAGCCCCAAAAACCTTTGTGATGCGTCCCCGCAATTTTGTGAAATTGATTTAAATGTTGATTAGTGTAATAATTCTCTAGTAAAAATTACCAAATAAATTTATTAAAAAAAGTTGAAGCCTGAACCAAGATATTCAAGTGAAATATTTGAAAAGGACATCATATATGGCTTTTTTGAATGATTTGAAATTATATGTTTATGTACCAGAAAATGGTATGAACAATTACTTACAATTGTGAAAAATTCATTATCCGAAGTTTTCAATGTCATAACATGTCATGAAAGTTGCTATCTACAGCTATAGATGCATGTACTCTTCAAACAAATAACCAATTGGAATATACCTAAGTTACATGTCTACGGCCCATCAATAACATAACTATCAAAAACAATTTCGATACTGGCGTCATCGTTATTTATATCTAATGTAGTTATTTTCTTTCCTCATTTTTAAAGCAACGTGTATTTTTTCCATAACGAAGAAGTAGAAAGTCAAAAAGCTTCGGTCTTCATTAGCCTATTCAAGACACACTTCACTGTGAGATTTTCACAATTAGTAAAATTTTTCAGTGAAAATCTTTCTTTTGAATACTTCAATCTCTCCTGAAAACATTTTTTTCCAATTTATACCAATATTCGTTTGAATAAAGTGACGCAAAACGTTTTTTTCAATATGAAGCTATGCACAACTTTTAAACTATATAAATAATTTTGTTTCCGCTTCAAAATGTGACTCTGATTCAAAATAATATTGAAAAACGAGACTTTGAAACAATATCATTAAACTCAGTTTCTGTTAACTTCAGAGGAAAATACTTCATTAGTTGGACCATAGGCCGATTACTTAACAAACCATTCTCGATTCTTCAGTACATTGTATCACCAGTTCAGTTTTCTCGAGACAGCATTCTCGAATAATTCCTTTTTTGATTGTATATTATTAGGTTCATTCAATATTTTTGTCCGTTTTTGATGTTGCTAATTTTTCAAGCTTCATATCTCAAAAAATATTTATTTTACTGGTATATACTGATATATACTGGTATATACTGATCCTTAGAGAATTTTGTACTCTATACATTGATGCTGATCTTTTTTTATTCAAATTTCAATTGTTCGTCTCTTTTCAGCTCATAATATATGATGTCTATGAATTCAAATTGAACCAAAGCGTTGCCGTAAAAGCCCGAAAAATTAACCAAGAATTTGGCAATGATAGTGTTCGCACTGTTCGTCATTGATTTGCGAAATTTTGTTCCGTAGATTTCAGCCTCGAAGAAGTGTTCGACACACCGTAATCCAGGACGGGTTTTTGAGGACACTGGTGGATGGAGTCTAATACATCACAAACGCTGCGTGGGATGGCGAAAGAAAGTTGGCGGTCAAAAAACTCGAAAAGTGGGTAGCCCTCGATTTGAACGATCTATTGAAATTGTCACATTTCGAAGTCTGCTTTTCTTTGATTTTGCGCAACCAAAATATTGCTTTTTGGGATCTGATCGTCACGTGTGATGGAAAATGGATCCTCAACGACAACAGGAGACGTTCAGAATAGTGCTCGGATACCGATGAGTCATTCAGGCACTTTCCAATGGCGAAAACCTTCCAAAAATGGACCATAGTTATGGTATGGTAGTTAGCAGCTAGTGCAATTCACTATTACTTTCTGCAACCGGGCCAAACCACGGCAGCAGAGTCCGCTTGTAAGGATATCGACGGTATTTATCAAAAATTGCGTCAGCAACAGCCGGTAATGGTCAACAGAAGAGGTCCGATAACGTTTCACGAATATCCGTCCGAAAATTAAACGAATGTATCGTTCTGGCTCATCTTTTCAAGTACTTCGATAAGTTTCTCATCGGTACAACTTTAACAGGCAAAAACGGCCTTCGTCAACTTCATCGAATCCCAAGTACGCAATTGTCATGCTGACGAAATTGATTGACTTGTGTTGAGTTGGCAGAAGTGAACTAATTTGAATGGCGCTTATTTCGACTGAATTTAATGAGTTTTCACTGAGATACTACAGCTAAAATAGGCTTATAAAAACTGACAAAAGTTTTGTAACAACCTAATTCCAATAGAGCCGATTCGATTCATTTCAGACGGACAGTGAGCGGGATGATTTAAATGAATACGAATGTATCAAGATTGGAATTATAATCTACTACGAATTGAAATCTCATGACAGAATTGTTTCATGGAAGAATTTGCGGTTATCGAGTTTCAAAGGTTCCGAAAACAGCTGCCTGGCTCCGCACGAAACACCACGTAAATTAAAGCGCGCGCCGCATGAAACCCTTTCGAGGTTTTTGCAGAAACTACCCATCTTATACGTTTCTCGATTTTATCGTCCGCTCCTTTTTTAGTGTCTCGATACGTTTACAATCCATTAACGCTAATGAAAGAGAATAATTGGTATGCTCTCCTTCAATAGAAGTGCATATTACTGGAAAACTTCTAACAAGAAATCAATCATCTTCTTACAGGAGCGCACCGAAGAGGGGCTTGAAGGAAGTAGTCCCTCCAACCCTTGAAGATCCAATAACTTGTCTGTATTCATGAAATAACTATAAATATTTCGTAGGCATGTTTATATTATTATTTCAATTTAATGACATGTAGTTACTTGAAAGACGGATTACAATATATAAAAATCAAAGATACTTAGTATTTTTCAGATAGAGTTCAACAGAGTACTAAGACCAATATTATTTATTTAAAATATCTTGGTGTATACATGAAATGGGGTGCCTAAATCGATCACGTCACTGAAAAATTTGTATATATATTCCTATCCCTACTAATATTATAAATGCGAATGTAAGTTTGTTTGTTACGGTTTCACGCGAAAACTACTCAACCGATCATCATGAAATTTTGTACACATGTTCTTGGAGGTATTCGAAGTAACAGAATACTTTTTATTGAAAACAAATTTTTAATTAATTGCTAATAAAAAAATATTGTAACTATTTGTGTGAAATGGTCTGTCACGAAACTCAATGTGACAAACCAAATCCTACGCAGGCGAAGCCGCGGGTAATAGTCTTCTATAATAATTTCAGATAACACAAATGTAATCTCAGTATTTTACGGAGAATATGATGTTTGGAAAAATATTTTTTGCCTTTCTAATAATCCAATAATATACATTGAGCGACAAAGAAAAGGCAAGGAAAGGAAAAGAAGGAAAATAATTAACTTTGATTACTATTAGGCCGTAACTTTTCGACCAACATAGTTTATTC